TCAAACCAGGTCTGAAGCCAGTGGGCAGTGCCCCACTCAGGTAGACGTGAGAAACAGCGGGAGGGGTGCCCGCTCCCATGAGGGCGAGTGTAATGAGCTGCAGTTACAGCCACAAGCAGACTCCAGCCGGTGATGCCAGGGGCCCGTGGGAACAAGAACTTTGCTTTCCAATTACTACATTGGTGGCTGCCATTTATCAAGTGCCAGGCGCTTCCCAAGCATAACCCACTTTCCCCAGGGTCCACATAACAGTTTGAGCCAGCCGCACCATCCTGCCTGAAAGCAGACAAACCAGACCTCTCCCTGGGCACCTGAAAATCCCTAGCGGGAGGGGCACCCTGAAGCACTCTGGCTTCTCCCTGCAGCTTACCAGCAGCCTGTTCCAATGACCCCACTGCACCTTGGGGGTGGGCGAAGCTGAGCACCCTGACTCCTCCCCGACCAGCACAGCTAACACTGGACTGCGTGTTTATTGAAGCCTGACTAGGGGAGTTCTAGTACAAAAAACTTAAAACCAAAACTTTTATTAGGCATTTCTGCCACTGAAGCCCATGGCCTGTGTCCTTGCCCAAGGTCCCCTAGGCTTTTCACTCAACGTGCCACCCCGTTGCTGGAGCCAACTTGTCTTCGCTTACATCTTCACTCCCCCAAACTCCCAGGACCCTAGCAGACAGGTTCGAACCTGCCAGGGGAACACAAATGGAGCAGCCCGTGCCTTTCTAATTGGGAGCTTTGGGGCTGGTGTCGGCTCAAGAATAAGAGGAGTTTCTAGACTCATTCGTGCATGAAACCGACCACTCCTGGTTAAAGAGACAGTCTCCCCAGGACAGACATGAGCTTCTAGCCCCAGAGCCACCGGAAGCCTTGTAGATCATCTTTATCCCTGACAGACTTGCTTCATATGATGTAAACCTCACGACAACCCACATAGTAGGTATTAGGCATCCCCACATCACAGACTGGAAAACTGAGACTTGAGAGAATGGACTCACAGTGCCAGACTTGTAGATCTGGACTCTGAAACCAGGTCCAGACCCTGTGCTGTCCACCTCCCCGTGGGAGTGAGGTAAGCTGCGTCACAAGACCAGGAAGCCACAGGACTCAGAGAGATGCCTCTTGACCTATGTCCGGGGGTCTCTGTCTTATTCGAGGGTCCCCGTACCCTGAAAGGGGAAGGGGAGAAGTGACCTTGTGCCTTATCTCTCCAAGAGTCTCCGTCTGCCAGAAGAATCAAACATAAAAAGGAACAACTGAAAGTTCCTTTTAAATGAAAATTCTCTGTAAATGCCACAAAGCCCTTGCAAGATCCAGTTTCTGCCCGAGGAAGCCTCTGAATAGGATACACTGGGAAGAGCACAGCTTTTGGCACCAGAGAAGCCCGACCTGGAATCCTGGCTTGGCCACTGGTATACTGGCTGTGTGACCTTGAGCCAGTTACTTAACCTCTCTGTACTTCAATTTCATCTATGAAATGGAGGAAATCACCTGCCTTCCAGGACAGCCCATGTGAGATGCTTGCACATAGTAGGCCCTCATTTTATACTAGTTTCCTCCTCTCCTGCCTGAATGATCACCTTCAGCTGTGCCTTTTGGACCAGTAGCTTCAGAGACTTCCTCCTCCGACTGCCTTCATGGCAGCTTCCCAGCTCTTGCCTAATAATAGCTCTTTATCACATTAGGAGCACTTCACAAAAGCAGTGCTTTCCTCTTTTAGGTAATTAGAGTAATTAGCATTGCCTTTGTGCAGCCCTCTGGTTTTCCTTGAAAATTCTTGCTGGAGAAGTTGCTGGCAAAAGAGTTTGCATTGCTGCTGTTGGGGGCAGCCCTGTGCTGGGAGCAGGGACTGCAGGGGCTGCCTTCTCCCTGCCTGGGCCAAACGTGGGCTAGGCTCTAGGCCCTTTGTGAATCACCCCAGAATCAGCCACCTGCCCCAAACGAAGTTTGAGGTGGCTCCTGATCTCAGGACAAGCCTGAGCCAGGAGTGAGTGAGGGGCTGGCCCTGTCACAGGCAGGGGCATCTCAAGGTGAATGAAGCAGACAAAGGCCAGCCTGGCTCCAAATGTAGGGACTGTTGCAGTGAGCAGGAGATTCTGCCACCCCAGGGGCCAACTTGTGAAGTTTCCGAGGACAGAGACCCAGCCCGGGGTCTCTGAACCATTCGTGTCCAAAGGAAATGCCACCTGGCTTCTAGAACTTAGCACAGGCATGGCTTCGCAGATCTCATCACATTTGATCCTCGTCACTGTCGCATTACGTAGGAATAGTAACCACATTGTACAGATATGAAAACTGAGGCTGCGGGCAGGGACACTGCACGTGAGTGGTACAGTCAGATGAACCCGGCGAACCGACTGCAGAGCCGACATTAACACTTCTCTGTGGCTTCTGGTCAGTGACTCTAACTCAATGCCCGTTACACGTGTTATGTCATTGAATCCTCACAAAGGGCCACATGGTATAGGTGTCTG